TAAAGAACCCTTGTAATTACATGGGCTCACCCAGATACTGCCGGATAATCTTGTTTTAAGGTTGGCTGATTAGCAACATTAATTTCATCTGCACTCTTAATTCCCCCTTCCTATGTAATTATGCAGTATAACATAGGACATGAGCAGTTGATGGGGGGGTGGGTCATTACTTTGGCCACCAGAGTGACTATTTTGTGCCAGGTACTGAACTAAGCACTGGTGAATTAAACATGAATAACACACACTCCCTAATCTCCATTCATTTTTGGGAGGAGCACCTCGCTTCCCGTGCTCCTGAGAATCAGGGGAGTCAAGGAAGGCTTCCAGGAGGAGGTGGTGCTAAAACGGACAAGTGACAGAGGAGCCAAGCTAGCCAGGAAGAGAATAGAGGTTTAAGGGGAAGCGTATTCTAAGCAGAGGGCATCACCCACTTCAGAGGCTCCCAGAGGGGAGAGAGTGGGCATTCAGGGGGCAGATGAGGCTCAGCTGGACTCCATAGCAGGTAAAATGGAGAGGGGTAAGCAGTGAGGCTGCCTTGCAAGGCAGGCTAGAGCAGGGGCTGTTAAGGAGTTTGGACTTAATCCCAAAGAGTAATGTACACAGGGGAGTAACGTGATGAGATTCATGTATTAGAGACATGGCCCAGGCTGCTATATGGAGAAGGCACCAGGGGGAGCAGATGGCTCAGTGGGTGTGCTGGAGACCTAAAGCAGGGGACACACTGAGTTTAGGGAGAGTTTTTTAAAATAGAAGTTTGAGTAATTTAAATGCTGGTAGGAAGGAGCTAAAAGCGGGGGATAGGTTAAAGATACAGGGAGGTGGGAGGAAGAACTGACAAGTGAGGTTCCAGAGAGGGCAGGAGAAGAGGAGATTCTCATAGAGGGATTAGCATTCTCCCCTCCCCTTCCCTCCCCTCCCATAAGACAGGTTTTCACTCTGTCACCCAGGCTAGTGTGTAGTGGCATGATTTTGGTTCACTGCAGCCTAGACTTCCCAGGTTCAAGGGATCCTCCCACCCTAGACTCCCAGGTAGCTGGAACTACAGGTGTGCACCACCACCACAGCTGGCTAATTTTTTTTTTTGGTAGACACAGGGTCTCACTAAGTTGCCCAGCCTGGTCTCCAACTCCTGGCCTCAAGCAGTCCTCCTACCTAGGCTTCCCAAATTACTGGGATTACAGGCATGAGCCACCATGCCTGCCCTCTGCTAGTTTTGTATTCTCCAGAGTTGTCTGTAGTTTGTGCTAGTGTGTCACTCATTATGCTGATCCTGTGTTATAATTAATACTTTTTATTTTAAATTTATTTATTTATTTATTTATTTTTGGTACTGGGTCTCAGTCTGTCACCGAGGCTGGAGTGCAGAGGCACAATCTCTGCTCACTGCGACCTCCACTTCCAAGGCTCAAGCAATTCTCTGTCCTCAGCCTCCCAAGTATCTCGGATTACAGGTATGTGCCACCACGCCTGGCTAATTTTTGTGCTTTTTGTAGAGACAGGGTTTCGCCATGTTTCCCAGGCTGGTCTCAACTCCTGAGCTCAAAGCAATCCACTCGCCTCGGCCTCCCAAAGTGCTGGGATTACAGGTGTGAGCCACCGTACCCATTCAGTTTAAACTTTTGAGTGGTTTTATATTTTCTGATTGGGCTCCTAGAAATACACAATTGATGCTAGGAAGGGTACCAGGAAATAGACCCACAGAGATGGGATTTGAGCATAGGTTTGGTTATCCAAGGAGCAGTGCTGAGCTTCTTGCCAATGGGACATGGGATGCTGGTGATTTCCAGGAAGTAACCTCACAGTGACTCAAGCTACCACTTACTTTTGATTGTGATGAAATGCCAGCCGAGGCATGTGCCATTCAAGCTAATGGATGCTATGCTTCACCACTGCAGCAGTAAGATGACTCTGAAGAATGGCATGGAACAGATCCTTTCGAATGCACCTGAGCAGGGGTCTCCACCACAGGGCCACAGAGCTGGAGAGGAGCAGCGGAAAAGTGAGGGGAAACTTCATTTGTGTTTACAGCCCCTCCCCATGGCTCACATAACCACCTGAGCGCCATGTCCTGACAGGTCCAGGTCCGACCTTTCAGTGACCTCTTTAGGCTTATCTCATGCCTCACCGCGACCTCATCAAGCCAGACTCCTGCTTTTCGCCAACCTCTGCAGCAGAGACACACCTCTGCGTCCTGATGGCCTCTTTAGGCCCAGCTCATTTCTCACAATGGCCTCTTTAGGCCCAGCTTTTCCCTTTTGGTGGCCTCTTCAGGCCCAGTCGGCCTCCCGCGGCCCAGCTACAGCCTCCTGGCCTCCTGTCCAGGCCCAGCTCTCTCTCGTGGTTGCGCCTACAGGCCCAGCTCCTGCCTCCAAACAGCCTCTTTTGACTCAGGTCCTGCCCAGCTCCTGGCAGCCTTGGTAGGCCCGAAACCTCCTCCTGTCTAGATCTCCAGGCCTAGCTCTTGCCTCGCAGTGGCCTTCCCAGGCCCAGCTCTTGCCTCACGGCCGCCTTCCCCAGCCACGTTCTTGCCAGGCTCCCGGCAGCCTCAACAAGCCCAGCTCCTGCCTCACACTGGCCTCTCTAGGCCTGGCTTCTACCTCACAGTGGCCTCTCCAGACCCAGCTCCTGCCCACCCCGGCGGCGTCTCCTGGACCAAGGCTTTCTCAAGTCGGCCCCTCCAGGCCCAGCTCCTGCCTCCCACCGATGGCCTGTGCAGGCCCAAAGCATCCTGAAGTTGGCCTCGCCAGTCCCAGCTCCTGCCTGTCGTCGGCCCCTGGAGGCACGGCCTCTGCCTCCTCCCAGTGGACCCCCCAGGCCCAGTTCTTGCCTCAGCGTGGCCACCTCAGGCCAAGCTCCTGCCTGTTGGCAGCCTCCATGGGCCCAGCTCTTGCCTCTTGGCATCCCCTCCAGGCCCAGAACTGTTTTCAGCCGGCCTCTCCGAGCCCAGCTCTTCCTCCTGGCTGCGTTCTGCCGGCCCAGCTCCTGCCTCACAACAACCACGTTCGGCCCAGCTACTTTCCAGCTTCTGGCAGCCTTTGTAGGCCCCAGGTTCCTCTAAGTCAGGCCTTCCAGGCCCCACCTTCGGCTCCCCGGCAGCCTGGAGAGGCCCAGCTCCTGCCTGACAACGGCCTCTCCAGGCCAAGCTCTTGCTTTGTGTCACCCTCCCCTGGCCATGTTTCTGCCTGCCTGGTGGCAGCCTCGACACACCCAGCTCCTGCCTCCCGATGGCCTCTTTAGGCTCATCTCATGCCTCACCGTGGCCTCCTGCAGGCCAGGCTCCTGCTCTTCAGCGGCCTCTGCAAGCCTGGGTCCTGTATCCCGATGGCCTCTTTAGGCCCAGCTTGTCCCTCGCAACGGTCTCTTTAGGCCCAGCTTTTCCCCTGTGGCAGCCTCTCCAGGCCCAAATCAGCCTCCCGCGGCCCAGTGGTTGCCTCCCGGCCTCCTCTCCAGGCCCAGCTCTCTCTTATGGCTGCGCCTACAGGCCCAGCCTCTGTCTCCAGCCTCTTTTGACTTAGCTCCTGCCCAGCTCCTGGCAGCCTTCGTAGGCCCGAAACCTCCTCTGGTGCAGATCTCCAGGCCCAACGCTTGCCTTGCAGCAGCCTTCCCAGGCCCAGATCTTGCCTCATGGTGGCCTTCCCCGGCCACGTTCCTGCCGGCCTCCCGGTAGCCTCAACAAGCCCGGCTCCTGCCTCATACTGGCCTCTCCAGGCCCAGCTTCCGCCCACCCCGATGGCGTATCCCGGCCCAAGGCTTTCTCAAACCAGCCCCACAAGGCCCAGCTCTTGCCTATCGTTGGCCCCTGGAGGCACAGCCTTTGACTCCTCCCAGTGGACCCACCAGCCCCAGCTCTTGCCTCAGCGTGGCCACCTCAGGCCAAGCAACTGCCTCTTGGCAGCCTCCATGGGCCCAGCTCTTGCCTCTCGGCATCCTCTCCAGGCCCAGAACGGTTTCCAGCCAGCCTCTCCCAGCCCAGCTCTCCCTCCCGGCTGCGTCTGCTGGCCCAGCTCCTGCCTCACGACAACCACGCTCAGCCCAGCTCCTGCCCAGCTCCTGGCAGCCTTTGTAGGCCCCAGGCTCCTCTAAGTCAGGCCTTCCAGGCCCCACCTTTGGCTCCCTGGCGGCCTAGAGAGGCCCAGCTCCTGCCTGACAATGGCTTCTCCAGGCCCAGCTCTTGCCTTGCATCGGCCTCCCCAGGCCATGTTTTCCCCTTCCTGGCGGCAGCCTCGACAAACCCAGCTCCTGCCTTCCGATGGCCTCTTTAGGTTCATCTCGTGCCTCACCGCGGGCTCCTGCAGGCCAGGCTCCTCCCCTTTGGCGGCCTCTGCAGGCCCGGCTCCTGTGTCCTGATGGCCTCTTAAGGCCCAGCTTGTCCCTCACAACAGTCTCTTTAGGCCCAACTTTTCCCCTGTGGCGGCCTCTCCAGGCCCAAGTCGGCCTCCTGTGGCCCGGTGGCTGCCTCCCGGCCTCCTCTAGAGGCCCAGCTCTCTCTCGCAGCTGCGCCTACAGGCCCAGCCTCTGTCTCCAAACAGCCTCTTTTGACTTGGCTCCTGCCCAGCTCCTGGCAGCCTTGGTAGGCCTGAAACCTTCTCCGGTCCAGATCTCCAGGCCCAGCTCTTGCCTTGCAGTGGCCTTCCCAGGCCCAGATCTTGCCTCACAGCGGCCTTCCCCAGCCATGTTCCTGCCGGCCTCCCAGCAACCTCAACAAACCCGGCGCCTGCCTCACACTGGCCTCTCTAGGCCCAGCTCATGCCTCACGGTGACTTCTCCAGGCCCAGCTCGAGCCCACCCCGATGGCGTCTCCTGGCCCAAGACTTTCTCAAGTCAGCACCTGCAGGCCCAGCTCCTGCCTCCCACTGATGGCCTGTGCAGGCCCAAAGTGTCCTGAAGTCGGTCTCGCCAGGCCCAGCTCCTGCCTGTTGTTGGCTCCTGGAGGCATGGCCTCTGCCTTCTCCCAGTGGACGCCCCCCAGGCTCAGCTCTTGCCTCAGCGTGACCACCTCAGGCCAAGCTCCTGCCTCTTGGCAGCCTCCACGGGCCCAGCTCTTGCCTCTCGGCATCCCGTCCAGGCCCAGAACTGTTTTCAGCCAGCCTCTCCGGGCCCAGCTCTCCCTCCCGGCTGCGTCTGCCGGCCCAGCTCCTGCCTCACAACAACCACATTTGGCCCAGCTCCTGCCCAGCTCCTGGCAACCTTTGTAGGCCCCAGGCTTCTCTAAGTCAGGCCTTCCAGGCCCCATCTTCAGCTCCCCAGTGGCCTGGAGAGGCCCAGCTCCTGCCTGACAACGGCCTCTCCAGGCCAAGCTCTTGCCTCGTGTCAGCCTCCCCTGGCCATGTTTCCGCCTGCCTGGCGGCAGCCTTGACAGACCCAACTCCTTCCTCCTGATAGCCTCTTTAGGCTCATCTTGTGCCTCACCGTGGCCTTCTGCAGGCCAGGCTCCTGCCCTTCAGTGGCCTCCGCAGGCTCGGCTCCTGTGTCCCAATGGCCTCTTAAGGCCCAGCTTGTCCCTCGCAACGGTCTCTTTAGGCCTAGCTTTTTCCCTGTGGCGGCCTCTGCAGTCCCAACTCGGCTTCCCGCGGCCCAGTGGCTGCCTCTCAGCCTCCTCTCCAGGCCCAGCTCTCCCTCGCAGGCCCAGTCCCTGTCTCCAAACAGCCTCTTTTGACTCGGCTCCTGTCCAGCTCCTGGCAGCCTTCGTAGGCCCAAAACCTCCTCCAGGCCCAGATCTTGCCTCACAGCAGCCTTCCCAGGCCCAGCTCTTGCCTCACGGCGGCCTTCCCCAGCCACGTTCCTGCCGGCCTCCTGGCAGCCTCAACAAGCTCAGATCCTGCCTCACACTGGCCTCTCCAGGCCCAGCTCCCGCCCATCCCGACAGTGTCTCCCGGCCCAAGGCTTCCTCAAGTCAGCCCCTCCAGGCCCAGCTCCTGCCTCCCGCCAATGGCCTGTGCAAGCCCAAAGCATCCTGAAGTCGGCCTCGCCAGGCCCAGCTCCTGCCTGTCGTAGGCCCCTGGAGGCATGGCCTCTGCCTTCTCCCAGTGGACCCCCCAGGCCCAGCTCTTGCCTCACATTGGCCTTCCCAGGCCATTTTTGTGCCTTCCTCTTTACAGCGTCTCCAAGCCCTGTTCATGCTTTTCATCAGTTTCTAGAGGCCCAACTCCATTTTTCCAATATACTATTTAGGTCCTGCTCTTGCCTTTCAGTTGTCTCTCCAGACCAAGACCTTTCTCATGTCAGTCTCACCAGGCCTAGCTCCTGTGTCTGGTAGGCCTTTAATGGCTCCGCTTTTGCCTCACGGCCGCCTTCCAGCTCCTGTTTAACGGCGGCCTCCCATGTCCCACCTTCTGTCTTCCTCTGGCCACTCCAGGCCCAGCTTCTTCCTTGGTGCCCTTTTTAAGCCCATAGTTTTTTCCAGTCAAGCTCTCCAGGCCCAGCTTGTGCCTCTGAGTGTCCTCTAGGATCTCAGCTTCTTCCTAACAGTGACCACTTTAGACTCAGCTCATCCTTACTGGGACCTCTTCAAGCCATGCTCCTGCTCTTGGCAACCTCTAGTGGCCCAGCTTCTGCCTCACAGCTGCCTCTCCCTGCATGCCTAGCTCCTGCCTCTTTGGGGCCCTTACAGGCCTAAAAGTTTCTTAATTTGTTCTTCTCAGGCCCAGCTCCTGCCTTCTGGTGGCCTCTACAGGCCTGGCTTCATCCTTTCAATGGCCTCTTTAGGCCCAGCTCCTTCCTCCCGTCGGCCTCTCCAGGACCAAAACGTCCTTAAGTCAACCTCACCAGGCCCAGGTCCTGCCTCCTTGCAGCCTTCAGACGCCCAGCTTTTGCCTGCCAATGGCCTCTTTAGCCCTACCTCCTGCCTTTCACCAGTCTCTCCAGGCTTAGCTCCTTTCTCTTTACAGCCTCTGCAGGCCTAAAACTTCCTCAATTTGGCATCTCCAGGCCCAGCTCTTGCCTCCTGGCAGCCTCTGCAGGCCTAGCTCAAGCCTTACAACAGCCTCTTTACCCCCAGCTCCTTTCTCCCAGTGGCCTTTCCAGGCCTAGAACTTCTTCATGTTGACCTCACCAGGCCCAGCTCCTGCCTTCCGGCAGCCTCTACAAGTTTAGCTCCTGCCTCCCAGGGATCTCTCCAGGCCCCAGACTTTCTCAAGTTGACCTCACCAGGCCCAGCTTCTGCCTCTCGTCAGCCTTCCAAGAGCCAGCTTTTGCTTCACGTCTGCCTTCCAAGTCCCAGCTCCTGTTTTACGGTGGCCCCCTGAGGCCCAGCTCCTGCTTCCCGGTGGCCTCTTTTGGCCCAGCTCTTGCCTTACCACGGCCTTCCAGACCAAGTTCCTGCCTTTTAGCAACCACTACAGGCCCAGCTCTTGCCTCCTTTCAAGAACCAACTCCTGCCTAATGGCGGCCTCCCGAGGGCAACTTTCTGCCTCATGTCAGCCTCTCCATGCCCTGGTGGACTCTGCAGGCCCTGCTTCTGCCTTACATTGGCCCTTTTATAAAGACCCAACTCCTGCCTCACAACAACCTGTTTTTGCCCAGCTCTTGCCTCCTGCAGTCTCCTTAGGCCCAAATTTTCCTTCAGTTGACCTCTCCCAAGCCCATCTCCAGCCTCTCAGCACCCTCTTTAGGTCCAGCTCCTGCCTTAATAAATTGGAATAAATTATTATTATGTGATTTTTATGTGAAATCTTTTTTCTGCAAAAAGTAATGAAAATTGAGGTAAAGTATAAAAGTCTAACATGTAATTTCCTCTATTGTCACCCCTTGTATTAGTGACAGTTCTCTAAAGGAGCAGAACTATTAGGATGGATGTATATATACAAGGGAGTTTCTCAAGGAGTATTAACTCACAGGATCACAAGGTTCCACAATAGGCTGTCTGCAAGCTGAGGAGCAAGGAAGCCATTCTGAGTCCCAAAGCTGAAGAACTTGGAGTCTGATGTTCTAGGGCAGGAACCGTCAAGCATGGGAGAAAGATGTAGGCTCGGAGGCTAAGCCAGTCTAACCTCTTTATGTTCCTCTGCCTCATTTTTATTTTTGCCACACTGGCAGCTGATTAGATTGTGCCCACCTAGTTTAAGGGTGGGTCTGCCTTTTCCAGCCCCGTGACTCAAAGGTTAATCTCCTCTGGCAACAGCCTCACACACACACCCAGGAACAATACTTTGCATCCTTCAATCAAGTTGACAGTATTAACCATCACAAGTTCAGCCCTTGTCAACTTTAACCCATACACATCTTCTGAGATTATACATAATCTTCAAATAAAGACAATAATAATGTCATAATTATGCCTAACATAATGCAAGTATCCTTCATACAACTGGAAACGTACCAATCCTCAACCCAAATGCTGTTATATAAAGCTAACACTTAAATGCTTATATGAAGTCAATAAATTTTATTCATATGATAAAGGAGAAAGGAAATAAAATGAAGATATATTCTTAGTACAATCATATATGTGCACAAACATGTTTTTAACAAAAGAAGGAGGAAATACTCATGACAATTATAGTCCTTGTTTCTGCAACTGGTCACATGGTCATAGCTGGTATTGATGACTACCTTCTTCTACTACCCATTCTGTATTCTTTTTGCCTTCAGCAAGCATCTCAGCAGGTTTTTTCCTGGAGTGACCCAAGCCTTCATTCCTGAAGGGTCTGGGCCATTTGTAGTCCTGCCTGGGTTGGGCTGTTATAGTTTCCCATTGACCTTAATCACAGGGCGTGGTAATACTAAGAGACACCCTAAAGGATCTCCTGTGTTCCACACATACTCTTCCTTACCTCCATTGTGGAGTAGTAGACTGATTTCATCTTGATAGTCCCAGTGAATCATCCCAGAAGGTTGTAACTCCCTTCTTAGCCTGTTGACTTAAAGGTGGCAGGACTCCAAAGTGGTGGCAGCATTCTTCCCTCTGGAACTAAGACCTCTAAGCCAGCAGAATGTAATGTTGTGGGAACAGGAAGCCAAAGTTTTCTAGTGGATCACTAGGGGTGATGGTGAGTGATGCCACTTCCACTTCCACCCCTTGATTCCTGGACCCGTGAATCCTGGCTATGGGATAAACAGTACCATATATTGGATGCTGATTCCGAGCAGACATGGCCTTCTGGAGAATTTTGCCCCAGCCCTGCAGAGTATTATCACCTAGTTGGCATTGTCATTGTGACTTCAAAAGGCCATTCTACCTTTCTATCCAACTGCTTCAGGATGATGGGGAACATGGTAGGATCAGTGAATTCCAAGAGCATAAGCCCACGGTCGCACTTCTTTAGCCGTAAAGTGAGTGCCTTGGTCAGAGGCAGTGCTGTGTGGAATACCATGACGGTGGATAAGGCATTCCGTGAATCCACAGATGGTAGTTTTAGCAGAAGCATTGTCTGTAGAATAGGCAAACTCAAATCTGGAGTATTTATTCCAGGGAGGACAAACCTCTGCCCTTTCTATGATGGAAGAGGTCCAGTATAATCAACCTGCCACCAAGTAGATGGGTGATCACCCAAGGAATGATGCCATATTAAGGGCTTAGTGTTGGGCACTGCTGCTGGCAAATTGGGCACTCAGCAGTGGCTGTAGCCAGGTCTGCCTTGGTGAGTGAAAGTCCATGTTGCTGAGAAAGTCCATCCCTGCCACCATGGCCACTTTGTTTATGGGCCCATTGGGCGGTGGCAGAGGTGGCTGGGGAAAGAGGCTGAGTGGTGTCTACAGAATGAGTCACCCTATCCACTTGATTATTAAAATCCTCCTCTGCTGAGGTCACCCTTTGGTGAGCACTCACATGAGATACAGATATCTTAACAGTAAGTATCTTCACAGTTTTTGACCACTCAGAGAGGTCCATCCACATACTTACCCAAATTTCTTTGTCACTAGTTTTCCAATCATGCTTCTTCCAAGTCCCTGGCCATCGAGCCAAACCATTGGCTACAGCCCATCAATCAGTAAATAATTGCACACCTGGCCATTTCTCCTTCCATGCAAAGTGCACAGCCAGTTGCACTGCTTGGAGTTCTGCCGACTGGAAAGGTTTTTCTTCACTGCTGTCCATAGGGGTGTCCCAGAAAGGGGCTATAGTGCTGCAGCTGTCCACTTTTGGGTGGTGCCCGCATATCGTGCAGAACCACCTGTGAACCAGCCCCTAGTCTTCTCTTCCTCTGTCCACTGATCATAGGGAACTCCCCATGAGGCCATTGGTGCAGGCTGGGGAAAAGAAGGCAGGGTGGCAGGAGTGGAGACCATGAGCATTTGAGCCACTTCCTCATGTAACTTACTTATGCCTTCAGGACGTGCTGGAGCCTGATCACATATATACCACTTCCATCTGATAATGGAATGCTGCTGTGCATGACCCACTTTATGGCTAGGTGGGTCAGAAAACACCCAGTTCATGACAGGTAGTTAAGGTTGCATGGTGACTTGATGACCCATAGTCAAATGTTCAGTTTCCACCAAAGCCCAGTAACAGGCGAAGAGCTGTCTCTGAAAAGGAGAGTGGTTATCTGCAGAAGATGGCAGGGCATTGCTTTAAAATCCTAGAGGACAGGCCGGGCACGGTGGCTCAAGCCTGTAATCCCAGCACTTTGGGAGGCCGAGACGGGCGGATCACAAGGTCAGGAGATCGAGACCATCCTGGCGAACACAGTGAAACCCTGTCTCTACTAAAAAAGTACAAAAAACTAGCCGGGCGAGGTGGCGGGCGCCTGTAGTCCCAGCTACTTGGGAGGCTGAGGCAGGAGAATGGCGTAAACCCGGGAGGCGGAGCTTGCAGTGAGCTGAGATCCAGCCACAGCACTCCAGCCTGGGCGACAGAGCAAGACTCCGTCTCAAAAAAAAATAATAATAAAAATAAAATAAAATAAAATCCTAGAGGACTATAACACCATCCCCATCTGCCACTGACACCTCAAGCACCATTGGATCCGCTGGGTCATATGGCCCAAGTGTCAGAGCAGCTTGCACAGCAGCCTGGACCTGTTGCAAAGCCTTCTCCTGTTCTGGACCCCACTTCTGGTACCAAAATCTGTATTAGGGTCCTCTAAAGTGATAGAATTAATAGAATATATATATGTGTGTGTGTGTGTGTGTGTGTGTGTATGTATATGAGTTTATTAAGGAGTATTAACTCACACAATCTCAAGGTCCCATCATAGGCCATCTGCAAGCTGAGGAGCAAGGAAGCCAGTTTGAGTTCCAAAAGAGTCTGATGTTTGAAGGCAGGAACCATCCAGCACAGGAGAAAGATGTAGGCTTGGAGGCTAAGCCAGTCTAATCTCTTCACGTTCTTCTGCCTGCTTGTTATTCTGGCCTCGCTGGCAGCTGATTAGATGGTGCCCAGCTGGATTGAGAGTGGGTCTGCCTCTCCCAGTCCACTGACTCAAATGTTAATCTCCTTTGGCAGCACCCTCACAGACACACCCAAGAACAATACTTTGCATCCTTCAATCAAGTTGACACTCACTATTAACCATCACACCTCTCCTTCCTTCCCCAGTTCCCACCACAAAAGCATAATAATTTGTCCAAAGAGGCCTACACTTAGTCCCTCTCTAAACAAAATGCCGAGTGGTTGTAGGCTGAGTGTCACTCCTTTGTCACGTCTCCTCATTTATTTTTTTATTTTCTTTTTTTTTTTTT